ACTGGGGAAAGTGTATATAGTTCATACATGTTCAGTTCCAATGTCAAACACAATCAAGGAACCTTATTTTAAGGTGACAATAGTATGTCGTATTTCAATATATGTGCACCTGTTCTGAACATGAAACTCATTCCCAAATCCTGCAAAGTGTTGAAAACCTTTTCACTTCTTACAGTTACTATCAGTTCTCTCTGATAAATATTTCACATCGCTGGTGGTTTCTATGGTCTCTTGCTAAGAAATTTGCATCTATCAATTGGTGGCTGCATTATTTTCTGCATTTGTGCTTGCACCACTACTGTTATTGTTGTTGTTATTATTGTTATTGTTCGCTGTGGCTTCCTTCTGCGTCACTTCGTCAGCCAGACTCTGCCAATTTTGTCTGTTGTCTTGAACTCCATCAAGCAGAGGTTTTAATTCATCACTGAGATTGGCAAATGCCTGAAAACAAATATGGTAATCAAGCACTTGTTCTATATCAACATCTAAATCTTGATCTAAAACACTGTCCACCTATTCAATCTATCTATTTCTATACATTTAGAAGCAATATTCATCTGAGCAAGCAGCTGTCATACACTCCCAGGACCTAATATTCTATTATCTCCATGACACAAGTCAGATACATATTTAATTGTGTTGCCTGGCACCAGAGCTTTACAAATACTAAACAAATATTGTGTGAAAGGAGAAGTGTTGAAAAAGGAAAGCTCACCTCATATACTGGCATGCATATGGAGTCTATAAATCCAACTTGCATTATTGGTAATTTGTCCTTCTTCTCCCGATTCATCATATCCTGTAGGAGCGAGAAATGTTTAGGACATTGTTATTTTTTCAAACTAACAATATACCAGCAGTTAATTCTATTGTTATAACAGAGACAGACACATAGACAGACAGATAGAAGAGAGAGAGAGAGCAAGAGAGCGAGAGAGATAGAGAGAGAGAATGTGAAGAGAATGTGAAGAGAGAGAGAAAAGAAGAGAAGAGAGGAGGAGAGAGAAAGAGAGGGGATATTTGTGCGAGCAGTACTTACAATTGGAGTAATTTTCAACTCTTCTTTCTCTATGTCTCCCTGCTCAAAGAATTCTCCAGCTACAAGTTCTGCAACCTGGGCAAAGAAAAGGCAAAAAAATTAAGTCTCACATCAAACACTCATAATAACATAGCTATAGGTAATGCATTTATTTTGTATTATATTCTCATAATCACTTGTAAACTTACAATAGTTATATTAATATTTGCCAATATTCAAACAAAAAGTAAGTAATGGTTGACATGTCTCTACATAATATTTTTGCAACTGCCTGGTGTTGCCCTAGTTTCTTTAAATTAATTGCAAACAGCCTATGGTCATTACAAGAAGCTGATGAAGCAGATTATATGTAAATACCTTCAAGTATTTGTATAATCAAGTGATGTTATGCATTATTATCCAACTTAAACTTCTGATGTGTGTAAAGATCTCTAATGTATGAAGAAAACAATGTATTATGTTGTAGATCTCATAGATCATGAGAGAAAATTTGTGTATGCTTTTGGTCTTATGAGGAAGCATTAACAAACAAAGAAAATGACAAATGTGGTGTAGAAAAAGCACAAAAGGAACAAGTAAATATCCAAGAATGACCTGTTTCTCCTAGACGACCTCACCTTTTTCTGGATGTTCCATGGCTTTGTTATGGCCGCGATGTCACAGATGGTCATCATCATTCCTCGCAGCTGTTCGCGGTTCTCCTCCTTTGCAAAGTCATACTGGTTTTTGTTTACCAAGGTAAAGAAGTCTCCCCTTTTTCTGGAAAAAAGAAATGAAAAAGCTATTCAGTGCATTATGAAAATAATACCCATTTTATGGAGAAAACAAATGGATGGAAAAATGAATGTTTAATCCTTCACAAAAATATAAAGAAAGAGATATATATACATTTACACATATACACATTATATATACAAATGTGTGTGAGGGGAAATGACAAATATGGCTTGAGATGTACACACTGCAAGTGCAAATAGACACATGGATACACAATGATAAAGATACTGTTGGGATGATTAACATGATTTCTTTAATCAAAGATCTTATATCATGCCCAACTATCCTATCCCTTCATGTGTTCCCACTCACCTAAAGTACACTGCCAAGTCTGTTGCCAGAATCGCATCCTCGAGCACGCTAATGACCCGTGAATATTCATCTGGGGTACAATTACTCAGGATCTGATTGCCAGCTGAGTTGAGGATCATGACACTCTGGTCAAAGTGGTGGTGCTCCATGGTGGATGTTGTGTAGAGCTGTGCCAGAGGTGATGAGGCCCTGCAAGGACAAGAAGGAGTGTGGAGAAGGTATTAAAAATCAGTAACATTAAGAGAAAATGAAAATAAAAGAAACACTTTACTTATACTAGTATGCATACAGTGAATATAAAACCAAAATGCAGTTTGGTTTTCTCCCACATGTTGATGTAAAGTAGTTACATTCAGCATTGTACCACAGAATAAACCTTATACATGCAAATGAAAAAAACTAGTTCAGCTAACCTTCCTTTCACATTTTAAGGAGCCCAAAAGTACATGCCCTTTCACATACTCATTCCAAACCCAAAACTCTTGATCAGTTTAAGAACTCTTCTAAGAATTATAATTATATATTTCTTACCTTTACTTACAACAATACACTTTTCTCTGCGCAACTTACTTGATCTGAAATGAATTGTTGGTGCCCCGATGGTCGAGGTCGTGGCACAAGCAGGCAACAAGGAGGGCCAGGCACTCGAGTTCACCCAGCACCTTCCACCACTGGGTAGTCTGAAATGGTTGTGAGCATTAGCCCCCTTTCTTTGTTTTCTCACATCTTTGCTTTTTTTAGACATTTGTATGGATGGATTATCATTCCCAACACAAATTATAAACTCTATTTCCAGGTAATGAATGTGTGAAGAACTGAATTGCAATAGGAGAGAGAAAGGGAGACAGAGATCAAAGGGAGGGCAAGGAGAGACAAAAGGAGGTGGAAGCAAGGAAAGAAAGGCTAAGCATACATCTATCAAAGTCCTTACTGTAATGATGGCAAACATCATCTGTGCAACATTGAATGCATGCCGCCAGTTGTGATATGTGACATTGCGGTAGTTCTTCTTGACACTCAACAACCAACGACACAGGACTTCATACTCTATATGGAACCTTCCTATGAGGTCCAAGTCCAGGAACATCCTAAGGCAAGCCTGTAAGACACCAACCAATATTGTAACTACATTCCTCCTTCATATTCATATTTCAGTATATTTTGTCATAAAAAAAGGACTAAAGAGCCTTGTTCTGTGGTAAAAGTACATATTCAGAACTAACCTTTAAACTTCCATCATCATCTAAGCTAAAGTCATCAAACTTGAAATCATACAATCTGAAGGCCTGAGCTGAAGGGATCTTCACTTTCTGGAAGAAAAGAAAAATATAAATAACCACTTACTTCATTTCAAGGGGATTATTCTAAATTGATCACAATTATACCAATTTCTGAAAAAAAAAAATCAATGTGGGCAAATGTGATGGGACAAAAATCCAATTTACCATTAGTTTCAGTGCATCTTCTCTTGGAGCTGCAGCATGGTAGCTAAGCACTTCTAGGGTAACTTTCTGCTTGGCCATTGCTATCACAGCCTTTTCATACCTAATGGAGGGAAAAAGGGTCAGTGCTAAGAACAGAGCAAATCATGAATTTCAGACCAATGAGTACACCAGGGGTATGATATGAAGAGAGTGAGGCAGGACTATACTTCAAGACAAAGAAAGAGCAAAACAACCCTGTGGCTCTTACATTCGTGTGTTGTGAATGCCCATCCCACAGAAGATGGCAAAGGCCTCTAGGAAATTCTCGTCATTGGTGGTAAAGGGGAGGTTGTCAAATTTATTGATCAGCTGGACAACACCCACAATTTTGCCTGCCGTGTTTCTGATGGGCATGCACAAGATGGAACGGTGCCGGAAGTTGGTGTGTTCGTCCACTGACTGGTCAAATCTGGAGTCCTGATAGGCATCTGGTATGCAGACTGTCTGTTGATGGATAAAGGATGGAAGAAAATATTAGAGTGGTAAGGTTGAAGTGCATTTTCTCTTTATATTTGAAAAAAATAACAGTAAAGTAAATAGTATATAAGAAATTAAAATAACAGCTTTCTAAATCAAGTCTCCATTTTATAATCAATGGGACCCAATTTCTTTAATATTAGGAATGCCTTATGGCTGCCTGGCATAGACTCCTCCATACCTCCCCTGTAGTGGCAACATGGCCTGTGATACCAATGTTGATGGGGAAGCGAGACTCAAAGGGACTTGTGCGGGTCTCGGCATCCTTTCCCTGCAGATCCTTCACCTCCAAGTCAAACACTCGTGAAAAGGTTCCCTGAGATGCTTCATGCACCAAAAGGATCTGAGGTGATAGACAAAAAGACAGTGGGTTAAGGAAGTGGCGCTGAGGCTTGTACCCAGCCTTATATCTAAACCTACAAATAGATTACGCAGTTCGACACAAAGCAAGAAATAACTTTCACTGTCAACACCTAAGCAAATATACATATGTGGTACCACAGCAGATCAACCTAATTATTTCTCTGGTCTGTGAAGAAGTCACATGGATGCACACTCACCTGCACACGTTCACACTGCAGTAAACTCTGTGTGTGCGTCATGATGCGGTAGACCATCTGTTCTATTGTACTTTGCTCCTCAAAAATGATTCGTGCAAGGTCCAGCATCACCTGTGAATAGGTAAGTATATGTAACATTTCACTTCACCTTATCTATAATTCAGAATTGATAATGTTGACTAGAACATTTAAGAGAGAGAAAAAAATAATACAGAGAGCAATTCTCTTTCTGTAATTTCATGCGTGCACGTGCACAATCATTTAGTGCGTTACAAAGAAACCACGAACCTGGTTCCTCTTGACATCCAGCTGCGAGCGCTCGTACAGCTGGGCGTTCCTGAGTCCAATCCC